TTCCGCCGGTCCGTGTATTGGTGGTCGGCGGAGATTGCCGAACTTCGGCACTCCGCCGGCCAGGCCAGGAGGGCGATGGACCGGCGGGGACGAGACGATGAAAGCAGGGAGGCCGCCAGGGGGGCATACCGGGAAAAACGGGAAGCCCTCAAGGCGGCCATTGCTAAGGCCAAGGCCCGTGCCTGGGACGATTTGCTCTCCACCATAGACATGGACCCATGGGGGCGCCCTTATCACATTGTGATGAGACGCTTGCGCAATTGGGCGCCCCCACCGACAGCGTCCATGGACCCCGACTTCTTGGATAGGGTTGTAGGGGCCCTTTTTCCATGGGGGGAAGCCTGCATTCCCCCCTACGAGGCCCCCCCCCCCCAGACGGGGAGGACGAAGGAGTCGGGGTCACTGTGGTGGAGATGGATGTGGCCGTCAGGAAACTCGGCGCCAAGAAGAGGGCGCCGGGACCTGACGGCGTCCCAGGCACAATATGGGCCTTGGCATTGAGGAATAGTGAGGTAAAGAGCCGCATTATGCGACTCTTCACCTCATGCTTGAGGATCGGGGCGTTCCCCAGCCCCTGGAAGAGGGCCAACTTGGTCCTCTTCAGGAAAGGGGGCAAGGCGGAGGATAGCCCTTCCGCATATAGGCCAATATGCCTATTGGACGAGGCGGGCAAATATTCGAAAGAATAATACACGCCCGCCTCGTCCGGCACCTATCCCGGAGTAGTCCAACGCTCAACACCGAGCAGTACGGATTCCGGCGGGGGACGGTCTAGCGTGGACGCGATTATGCGCGTCCGGTCCCTCTCGGAGGCCGTTGTGAGGGGGGGGGGAGTTGTGTTGGCGGTGTCCCTTGACATCGCCAACGCCTTCAACTCCCTCCCTTGGGACCAGGTGGAGGCGGGGTTGGCCCATTTCAGGGTCCCCCCCCACCTGGTCTCAATAATAAGGGACTACTTCCGGGATAGAAGACTGGAGTTCCGCAATAAATCGGAACTCCAGTGCGGAAGGGCAGTGTATCGCGGTGTTCCGCAGGGGTCCGTGCTAGGACCCCTACTGTGGAACATCGCATACGATCAAGTCCTCCGTCTTGCACTCCCCCCCGGCTGCACCGTCGTCTGCTATGCCGACGACACGATGGTGTTAGCCGGGGGCAGGGGCTGGCGGGACGCACTTGAGATGGGATGTCTGGCGGTGGACCAGGTGGTAAGCTCCCTAAGCAGAATGGGCCTGAAGGTGGCCCCCCATAAATCGGAGGTCATGTTCATGCATGACGGCTCCGGGGGGGGGGTCCACCAAAGGCCCGAATCCGGATTGACGGTGTCTCCGTGAAGGCGGGTCCCACGATTAAATACCTGGGGCTTGTCCTGGATGGCACATGGGGGTTCCAGAAGCACTTCGAGCTTCTGGCCCCCAAATTGGGCAGGGTGGCCAACATGTTGGGTGGCCTCCTGCCCAATCTCGGCGGCCCAAAGAGGAAGGCGCGGCGGCTATATGCTGGCGTCGTCCACTCTATGGCCCTTTACGGGGCCCCGGTCTGGGCGAGTGCGATGGCGACAGACCAGCGCACAACAGCGCTGGCCCACCGAGCTCAACGGTGGGTCGCCACTCGCCTCGCCCGGGCCTACAGGACGACGTCACATATGGCCGCCACTGCCCTGGCCGGTCTCCCCCCGCTGGAGCTCCTAGCTGAAATGCACGCCGAAAATTATCGGCGTGTTAAGGAGCTCCGTGCCGGGGGAGACCAACAACACCTGGCCAGGGCCATAGGATTGGCCAAGGACCAGGCCCGTCAGCGGCTCCTCCTCAGGTGGACTCTCCACCTTGAGGGGGCGACGGGCCGGTCGGGAACGAGGGTCGCCGAGGCCATCCGGCCCTGTCTACAACAATGGGTTGACAGGGTCCGCGGAGAGCTGTCATTCCGGACAACGCAGGTACTCACCGGACACGGATGCTTCGGTGAGTATCTGCACAGGATAGGAAGGGAGCTTACCTCCCGCTGCCACCACTGTGGAGCTGAGGTGGACTCGGCGCAGCACACCCTCGAGGAATGTCCCTCGTGGGTGGGTGAGCGCCGAGTCCTAGTTGATGTGGTGGGAGCGGACCTCTCTCCCCCGGCCCTTATCAGGGCCATGCTTGGAGGAGATGAGGGCTGGTCCGCCGTCATCTCCTTCTGCGACACAGTCGTGTCGCAGAAGGAGGCGGAAGAGAGAGTCCGCAGGGGCGAAACAGCCCCTGGGGATGGAACGAGGCGCCGACGACGGAGGAGGGCGGCGCCTCGCATACCCGCGCACCGACGCGGCGTGGAAGGACGGCGCACCCGCGGGCGGGCGGGGGATGTCATAACTGGCATTCCCTCCCCAGGGGTACCCGCGGCTGCGCCGCCCCCCCCCCCAATACCGCCGGGTCCTCCTGCTCAACGGAGG